CCTGAGCTTCTTTTGCTCCAGGCTAGCACTCTACCACTTGAGCCACAACGCCACTTCTGGCTTTTTCTGTTTATGTGGAATCAAACCCAAGACTTCATGCATGCTAAGCAAGCACTCTACTACTAAACCATATTCCCAGCCCTTATTTTCTTTACTTAGAGATTTTCATAAAATGCAAAACTGCAGTGGCTTCTCAACCCAATAAATTTTGGATCTGTAAAAATGGCTCAACATGCCCCCCCCCTCCAAAAAAAAAAGCCTTCACTGATAGTTGAATTAAAACCTTGACATGAAGAAAATATCACACCATTAAAAATGTTCCCCTTTGTTTATGGTAGTCCAAGGTCCATGATTTACCAGTAAAGATCACAAAGGAAGGTCACATTGGATTGAAAGCCAGTCCACAGTGTGGTTACTCCTCTTTCACTAGCCTTCATGGATGCAGCGAGGACCCCAGAAAAGGGGAGAGGACATGCTAGTTTGGAGGAACCACAGTGGAAGACAATAAAGACATCCAGCTTATCCCCTATGTACCTTACAGATCAGCATCACTTTTTGTTTTGTTTTTGGTAATTGCTCCAAACAGCTTTGTGTGTGTGTGTGTGTGTGTGTGTGTGTGTGTGTGTGTGTGTGTGTTGATACTGGGGCTTGAACGCCAGGCCTCAAATGTCCCTTTGCCTTTTTTGATTGAACTACACCTCCACTTCCAGGTTTTTGCTGTTTGCTTTTTGTTTGTTGTTGTACACAAAATAGGTCTTAAACTCAGGGTCTGGGCATTGTCCCTTAGTTTTGTTTCCATTCAAGGTTAGTGTTCTACCACTTGAATAACACCTCCACTTCTACCATTTTGCTGATTAATTGGAAATAAAAGTCTCAAAGATTTTTCCTTCCAGTCTAGCTTCAAACTTCAATCTTCATATCTAAGCCTCTTGAGTAGCCAGGATTAAGATGTGACTCACTGGCACCCAGTCAATCTGGCTTTTTGTTGGTTATTTTGAAATTGGAGTCTGCCTAGAGTTGGCTTTGAATCTCAGTCTTAGGATCTCAGCCTCCTGAGTAGCTAGGATTGTAGGCATTAACCACTAGCACGCAGTTTAGTATTGTCTTGAGTTTGGTTTTATTTTGATTTTGTGACGGACTCTCATTCTGTAGTTCAGTTTGGTGTCAAACTCAATCCTCCTGCCTCTGCCTCCTGAGTGCTATGATTACAAGCGATGTCTACATGCCCTGCGTTTTTATTTTCCTCTGGGGTGTGTGTGTGTGTGTGTGTGTGTGTGTGTGTGTGTGTGTGTTGGCCTCTCACTAGGAATCTTGTTTGAACATCATAAAAAATTACAGATTATTATTATTATAGCCATGCACATACCTATGTAACAATCTTAGGGTACGGAGCTCACTATGGAGGAAACATACCACCCCTGTTTGCAAGCACACAAGATTCTCCTCCCTTCCTTCACTTTCCACTTCAGGAGCAGTTTGTGGGACAGGAAGCAAGCATAGAGCACCTGTTCTGTTTTGTCACTGAGCAAATTCTCAGATAAATCCTGGCCATGCTTCAGAATGGGGCAGCCTCGCCATGTAAAATAGGAACACCTACAGGTGTGTAGGTAATAAGATCTTGAGCTCCTTGTGGTTTATGTTCCTTCTGTGGACATGGGCCTGAGGGATGCTGAGCAGGCTGGGGGTAGGGAGCTAGTGGGGTGAGTAGAAGGCCTGCTGTGTGTCCCAGGCCTGGTGATGTCTTCAGTGACAACTTCCATGATCTTCCAGATTACCACCAACATGAATCCTGACAGCACGGGTGCACCTCCTGTAGTTTCTTTTTGTTCTTTAGAGCTTTCAAAATCTGTGTCCCAGATGAACCTCTTCTGGAAGTGTGGACTTGGCTCACCATGGAATATCCTTGAACTATTTCTTTCTTTGTTGTTGTTGTTGTTGGTCATGGGGCTTGAACTCTGGGCCTGGGCTCTGTCCCTCAGCTCTTCAGCTCAAGGCTAGCGCTCTACCACTTGAGCCATGGCACCACTTCCAGTTTGCTGAGTGTTTTATTGGAGATAAGTGTCTCATGGAGTTTCTTGCCCAGGCTGGCTTTGAACCACAACCCTCAGATCTCAGCCTCCTGAGTAGTTAAGATGACAGGCGTGAGCCACCGGTGCCCGGCTCCTTGAACTATTTCTCACCTAACATGGATGAGCAATTTCCCTGAAGAAAGTTTCTTTCTGGGACATAAAATGAATAGTTTGGATGCATACAGATGCAGACACAATACAGGATTTCAGGTTTTCTACAAAATAAGAGAGCTAGGTGTGGGGCATGGTTGTAGAATATTTCCCTTAGTGTGCCCAAGACCCTGGATTCCCCCAGCACAGCAAAAATATATAAGGGTAAAGGACTCTGGTTTTAATTGACCACAGATGTAATTGATTATCCAGCGTGAGCATGGAGCAGGGGCTTTTTGCCTTGGCCTTCCTTCCTGGGTT